AATGTGACCATGCATTATGCCACTTACAATATTTTTTACCCTTAATTTGTTCAGGGTTTGGCAATTTGTGCTTATCGCTCAGCTTTATTTGCTTATCCCTATATAATTTATCGAATATAAGGTCAGCTTTGGTCACATCGAACGAGAACGTTCTAGCCTTTATGTTTCCATCCTTTATGGACTCATCTTTGCCCGATGGTCTAGGCTTGGCCATTATGGGATAAGTATATGTATCCCCTTTGACCAATTCGACCAAACACATTTCAGCCTGATCGTATAACTCGTCGTCGATGATATGAACGTCAAAATTTGGGTCTCTGTAATAAGTCCCTTTACTAGAATTTTTCATTTGTTCTTCTTCTCTTATCAGTCGCTCATACCTAATCACATTCGCACTCAACTGGAAAAGGTCAGGAAATTCTTTGTCCTGGAACTTCTTTTTTAAATCAAAGCTCAAGCAGCCTTGTGCGATCTTGACAAATTCTTTTTCAGGCAGAGGTACAAAATACTTGCTTCTTGCTGTCTTGAACCTTTGGAGAAAACTTTCTGCCCATTCATTTGGCATTTAACGTAGATTCGCCAAATCAGCCAAAGTGACTTCAGACTCAGTTTTATAAAACTGAGCGTGAAACAACTGTTCCAGTTGTTGCCATGTTTGAACAGAGTTCGCTGGCAAGTTGATGAACCAGGAGAAAGCTACTCCTGTTAACGAACTAGGGAAAAGTCTCATTTTATGGTAATTTACATCACCACTTTGCAACTTGAATCGCCCTATGTGTTCAAGAGTAGACATCTCTCCTAAACCGGTAAACAGTAAGAATTCTGGCACTTTGTACCCTCTAGGCCATGGATATGCTTGGTCTACCCAATCAGGATATGATTTTGTATACGTCGGCCTAATGACAGGACGCACCCCAAAAGCCATCTGATCCTGCACGATTTCCATAATCTGGTTCCTCAACATGACATTGGGATCATATGGAATTCCTACAGGCTGATTAACCGGTTGATCTGCATGAGGCCTGATGTTTGGTCCTTGATTGGCAACAAAATTACCATAGTTAGGGACATTACCATTAGCCTGGACATCTGTTCCCTCATTACCACGTGGAATATTCTGTCTATTGTTTAGGACATTATCTCTCACGTTTGGATTACCCCCCAAGTTAGGCATGCCGTTACCATTGTTTTGATTTGGCACTATAGTACCCCCTTGGTTTGAAGTAGAAGGACCAGAAAGCGGTTCTACCCCTTGATTCGGATTTAGGACAGAGGGATTATGTCCCACAATTGTCCTAGTTTGAAAGTGGTTTGTAAGAGGTATAGCCGGTTGACATATTTGGCCTACTAACTTATTCATTGTTTCGTTTAACGTCTTTAGTTGTTTGGCCATGTTGTCATAGTGTGCATTCCCATTTTGTGTAAATCTTTCCATATTATGAATACTTCGAAGATTTCCTGTTCAACGACGTCCTGTGTGAGTTCTCCAAATAATGTACGCATGGTTCGAGGACTCAACTCCGTCATTGGTTCGTAACGACTGTTACTGCTCTGATTTTGTCCATCTGTTCGTGGAGAGGCATGCTGCTCCTCATATCGCTCGATTACAGACTGAATTCCTCCCTGACTTGCTCCTTCCTTGTCGGATCTCTGAGTCATATTATTTCACCTTTTGTACTTTCAACACCTAACACCACTATCCCACTGGACGTGCCAAATTGTTTCACGCGAGTTAGTTGCTAACAATTAAAAAGGATCAGACGATTGTGTAAGGGACGAAAACCTCTTGAGACAAAGTCCCAAAAAGGAGTGTTCTTTTATTGGCGATGAACTTTACAATTGGAAATGAAAAACAACGTGCCTCCAAGGGGCGCAAACACACGAGTTACAGAAAGAAAAGTGTTTAAGTCTAAAAACTAAGGAAATGAAAATTACATATTCTCTGTTCGAGAGTTTTGGATTCGGTCTTTTGCTTCTATGTCCTTTCTCCCTTTTATACTTCATAGACGATCTCTTTGTGATTAACTACTCTGAAAACTGCTTGATCGTCCTATAACTACCCACTTTCTTCGTAGTGGCCATTTTGTCATGAAAACTACCTTTTAACTGCTGCCATTACCTTTTATCGTTCAACCGCTTTCGATTGAATTACTTGAATCGTGGAACGTGATAGGGCTGCTTTAACAACTGCTTTGATAACTGCATTTCTTGATAACCACGACGCGTTATGTTTGTTGATACCTTGGGCGACTTGAAGGTTTGGGCGAGAATAGAGTAACAGCTCTGGGCGACCGTATGACACTCTATTCGTTCAGATTCTGGGCGACTTGCAAACTTGGGCGATGGCGTTACCGCATTCTTGGGCCTCCTTATTTGGGCCTTCATCTTGATTTGTTCGATTGGGCTTCGTCTTTTGGGCTATCTGATTTGGGGATCCTCTAATTGGGCTTCACTCCTTGAGCTGTTCGATTTTGGCTGAATTTTTATGTGTCAACATAAACTAAACTACTTGATAACTTATTCCAGTTGAATTAATCAGAAACTACCCTACTAGCCATTTCCCCATAGGCTAAATCAATGGAAATTACCTGAACTAACAAGAGCTGCATGCATAAAAATTCTGACGTCATGTAAATAGAACATTCTGGAATCATGTGTCTGGATGCCTCCTGTACTTGTTTTATTTTTATTCGGACCATCAGAAGTGCAACGGAATTTGTTAATCCACATACGTGTTACTTTTACATTAGATATTACGATTGGTAGACATGTTACATTTACATTAGATATTATGATTGGAGTTCAAAGTTGTTACCAAATATCCTCCGATAATTGTTACTATTTTCGGGAAGGAAGTCTGAATTTGAAACCTCATTTAATGAACCTGAGTTTTGGCATACCATGTCCGGAACTTTCAAAAGCAATCTAAATCAGGAGCACCATTTGTACACACATTATTTTCTAAAGATATATTTTGTGCAAAGTGTTGAAATTATAGACAATATTTTAGCTTCTTTTCTTTCGTAATACATATTTAAGCATCCTTTAAAAAGTTCTTTTTTCTACCGCAACACCCTCGATGCCATCAAATAAAGTAAGCATACCCGAGTACTCTACAATCCATCTTACCAAACAAACCATTGCAGTATTGTTTCCAAGTTGAACAACAATAGTTTACTTGTTCATAAATTGCTTTGTTTGGAGTAATAAATCCATTGATTTTATGTAACTCCATTGGAAAAGCCACGCAAATTAATTGAAACTTGATATGATATTGCAGGTTGCCAGTGGAGATGGAGTGGCTATGGCTCACCGGGCTCAAGCTCTAATCTTCAATATGGAGTAAGTTTTTCAAATAGGGGGTCCTTGGTGGTATGTCATGTAAATGAACAAGTTTCTGTAACCTGACATAAGGAATATTTGCTTGCTGGTTTTATCAATTTTAATGTGCCGGAGGATTCCATTACTGATCTCTGTAAATAATTTTGCTGTCAGGTTCGTGCAGTTCCACCCGACTGCTCTAGCTGATGAAGGCCTCCCGATTAGATCAACCAAAGCTCGTGACAATGCCTTTCTGATAACTGAAGCAGTACGGGGTGACGGAGGCATCCTCTACAATTTAGACATGGAGAGATTTAGGCCTTCATACGATGAGAGGGCAGAGCTTGCTCCAAGGGATGTCGTGGCCAGAAGTATAGATGATCAGCCCAAGAAACGAAACGAGAAGTAGGTGCTTCTTGACATTAGTCACAAGCCCAAGGAAAAAAAATATTATCCCATTTCCCCAACATAGCTGCTGAGTGTATGAGGTATGGCCTAGACATAACTCGACAGCCAATTCCCGTTGTTCCGGCGGCTCATTACATGTGTGGTGGAGTTCGGGCCGGGCTGCAAGGGGAGACAAATGTCCGAGGTCTCTATGTGGCCGGTGAAGTTGCATGTACTGGCTTGCACGGTGCGAACAGACTAGCTAGCAACTCATTGCTTGAGGCCCTCGTGTTTGCCCAAAGAGCCGTGCAGCCTTCAATTGATCATACGAAGAGTTCTCGTATTGATAAAAGCGTTTCCCGTTGTGGCCCCGACCTACAATGCCTAAATTACTCGGGCATGTTGTACTGAACAATGTCATCCGTAGGACAAGGAAAGTGATGGACGAGTTGCAATCGATCATGTGGGAGTACGTTGGAATTGTTCGATCAACGAGAAGGCTGCAAACTGCAGATAAGAGGACTGGGGACTTGGAATTGGAATGGGAAACATACTTATTTCAGCAGGGATGGGAGCCAACGATGGTAGTCCTCGAAGCTTGTGAAATGTGGAACCGGTTTTGCTGTGCCAAACTGGTTGTAAGCAGCGCACTTGCAAGGCACGAAAGCCGAGGGCTTCATTACACCATTGATTTCCCACATTTGGAAGAAAGCAAAAGGCTGCCTACAATTATATTTCCCTCTTCATCTATAAGTAGTACATGGAGTTCAAGACAACTGCACAGGCAGCAAATATGTCACAAGTCTGCAGAAATACCTATTTAATTACAGAAAACCTTTAGCATCATTCAATTGTACAAAAAGTAAATCCACACAATTATTTTCATATTTGATGGTACGCATATAAAAATATTGTTTTAGATGCTGCTAATTGGGGTTTGAACTTGTTTTACGATGTTTGGCTGACGTCCAAATTTTGTTATGATTTTGATGGCACATCACATCTTGTGTACCATTTTACAGCTAAATGGTTTTGTTCGCAACATGCTTAATAGTAATATTTTTTGCTGATGTAAGTTTATTACAATAGGGGTACTGAGGTTTAGATAAGCCTGTTTGGGAGAGATTTTTTACTCCAAAAAATTGATTTTTTGACCGTTATTTCATTATTCCAACCGTAATTTTTGACTTCTTCTCTCACAGGTGAACCCCACTTTTCCTCTAATGGTCAAAAAATCAATTCTCAAAATCCCTCCCAAATGGGGCCATAACTAGATTACAGAAAAAGGGAAAAAACAGAAGTTAAAATCTCATTCAATATACCAGTATCGAACAATTTCACAACAATCAATGAGTTCAATATAATATACAATTGTTTTTTGGGTCAGTATAGGTATTGGAATTCTTGATCACCAATAATCCATGCAAGAACATAAACCATCCTTAAAATGGTGAAATCTATTTGCATCCCTCAAGATGATCTCTCGGCCTGTGACTTTTGCAATTAGTTTGATAGCAGTGTGGCAATCACCACAAACCCTCAGGTTTTTCATCACCCGAATGGGCACCCCTTGAGGCAACTTGAGAAGTCCATAGGCCACTGCTAGCTTCTCGCTATGATATCCCAAACTATGTGCCTTCTCTTCTTCCTCCACATCATGCAAAGTAAAGGCACCATCAGGATTATATCCAACTTCTCTTAATGGTCCACTTAATTTCTCCAGCATTTTAACAATCATAAAATGCTCAGGATGAGGTGCGCTCGAACCACCAGTGAACATATGCACCACCTTCTCCACCTGAATCCAGCTACAGCCTGGTGACTTGCTCACCTTCCTACTTCGCATGTTTTTCCTCAGCTGGGCAACATTTGACCATTTGCCCTTTGATGCATAAATATTTGATAGAAGGATACAAGGTCCAGCATTTCCAGGCTCGAGTTGTAGAAGTTTTTTAGCCGCTACTTCAGCTAAATCCAAGTTCCCGTGTGTCCTACATGCACCCATTAGAGAACCCCAAACAATTGCATCTGCTTCAATTGGCATAACGTTAATTAGATCGATAGCCTCGCTAAGGCGACCAGCTCGCCCCAATAAATCAACCATGCAAGCATAATGTTCTGTGGTGGGCTCTGTCAAATGTTTTGATTTCATGGACTCAAAGATTTCCTTGCCTTCTTTGACCAGTCCAGAATAACTACAGGCCGATAGAACTCCAACAAATGTAACATCATCTACAGCAATGCCTGAAGAATACATCTCTTGAAACACTTGTAGAGCTTCTCTTCCCAAACCGTGTTGTGCATAACCTGTTATCATAGAATTCCACATCACTATGTCTTTATGCAGAAACCTATCAAACACTCTCTTGGCAGCAACAAGATCACCACATTTCATGTACATTGTGATCAAAACTGACAAAACATATACATCATCGTCAAATTTGGACCTTAATGTCTGCGCATGAATCTGTCTACCATGAGCAAGACACGCAAGACTAGCAGAAACTGAAATAATGCTGATTAACGAAGGGAAATGTGGCCTAATTCCTTGAGTCTGCATTGAACGAAACAAAGTAAGAGCTTCCAACTCAAAACCTTTCCGTTCATATATCTTAATCATTGCACTCCACGTTCCATCATCCTTATCGTTCATAGAATAAAAAATACTCCTTGCTTTGGAAACCTCCCCATTCTCGCCCAACCCAAGTATCATCGCATTGCAAGCAATGACTGATTTAACAGGCATAGCATCAAAAAGCTCCCATGCCTCTTGAATCCTCCTACATTGAGTGTACCCCATAATCATTGCCGTCCAAGTGACTTCATTCTTTTCAGGCATCACTTCAAAAAGTTTCCTTGCAACATCCACCTTGCCATTCTTGGCATAACCTGAGATCATCGTGGTCCAACAAACCACATTTTTCTGCACAATAATGTCAAAAATCTCCCGCGCCTCATCCAAACGACCCTCCAAACATAGCCCACCTATCATACTAGTCCTAGTCACAACATCCTTCACGGTCATCAAATCGTAAAGCCTCCTAGCTTCATCAATTCTACAGTCGCGGATCAATCCATCTAACATCACCGTCCACAAGACCACATTCTTTTCCGGCATTCGCCAAAACAAAGCTTCTGCCTCAGAAACCATCCCCTCCTGGACATAACCTCTAACCATGGCTGTCCATGACACTACATTTCTTTCGGGCATTACATCAAATATCTTTCTAGCTTCCTTTACCATCCCATTTTTTATGTAACCAGAAATTAATCCATTCCAAGAAATAGTGTTTCTCTCTGGCATTTGATCAAACAAGAGTTGGGCTTCGTTCGGTTGGTGGTTTTGAAAGTAGCATGAAATCATGGAGTTCCAGGAAGAGACATTTTTGTGGGGAAGTTGATCGAATAATTTCCGAGCACCATCAATTTGGCCCAAACGGGCATAATGGGAAATCTGTGAAGTGACTGGGAATGCAGCGCTCATGTAGTATCTTCGACACAAAATGGAGAAAAAGCTTACATTTTTCATTTTTGTGCTTCAAGGGCAGACCTAGAAGAACCTTTTAGAACGGGCCAAAAGGTATACTCTCCATACAAACTCCAAAAACCAGCTTAGTATATCATATTCAGAAGAAACGTTTCTTACCTATAAAACAGAGCAACAAAAAAAATTGGGTAGTCTTCAGAATGGCTAAAAAATTAGATCTACCTTTATAATAGGAAATACTCTTTTCCGTTTACTTTTATTATTTGCAAGATGTATCATATATCTTTTAATTATTAGGTCTTTCAGGATTATATCTTACAATTCTTCCAATTCTTCCTAATTTCTCTAAATATTCTCTATATTTTGATAATTCTTCAAAGATTCTTGGCTGATCTTTTTCAGTTATGTATCCTATAACTATTCTTTCTGAAACTTCTTCTTGTATATCTTTATGTTTAGTTATAATATCTTCTACCTTTTTTATTTCTCTACTATTTCCTATGGAATCAATTCTTAGATTATGATTACAATAATAATCTATATCTCTATATATTTCTTCAAATTTTTCTTGGCCAACAGAGAATATATCTTCAGACTTTTCAACTAATTTAAATAAAAACGAAATATCTTTATCATCTAAATATAATCTGGGATCATTATCACTATTAGAAATGGATGTGGATGCTTGTGAAATGTTCATCAAAATTAATCAAAGTATAAGCATATAAAAGCGAGTAAATAAACTTACAGTAATCGAATGGAGGTGAACAGACTTTCCCTCCAGTATGCTCTTATAGATGCTTTGCATGTACTTAATCAATCTTCTGAATCAAGTAAAAGTTTAAAATGTTTTTGAAATCATTTGGGTCCACAACTGCTTTCATAAAAAGGCTTTTCAATTAAGATTGCATTTCTCACTCTAGAGAATTAGCCGTGTTACCACAGACGCTATCTCACAGTATCCAGAGTCTCTGTTTTCACCTCTATCCAAACTCTTTTCAGAATCAAGTTCTTACTTGGAACGAAATTTTAAAAGATAACTCACACACGATGTGCTACAATTTTGTTAGAAAATTGCCTTTTTCCCCTAAACTATTCATCAAAGACGGGTACTTTGGCATGGCTAACATCCATTCAAAATCAATGTTTTGAAAATCTTTTAAAATCTCTATCTGTACTGCCGAGGAATCATGAGAAACTTAACGAAATCCTTTTATGAAAGTTTTGTTGAACATAACAAACTTTACTTTGATATTCATAAATTGAAATAGTACATGCTTACAATCTATATTTACATACCTTTAGTACTCACCTTATGAAGTTTAGAACTCCATAAGTGATTACCTTAATACAAGCTTTGCTATCTTCAAGCTATCTAATTTTTTCTGAATACAAGTGGTGTATACAGATTACAAAGGATATATTTATAAGATGTGTTTTCTTCAGAGTGTTTAAGAGATAAGTTGTTTTGAGATATCTTCCTTCTTGCATCCTTTTATAGAAGTCTTTGAGAATTTTATCTTAACAGGTGTTTTCCACTTCCTTTTGTTGGGTAACTCAATAATGTTATTTATACCGATTTCTCCATTATCTTCTTGTTAGGTGGACCTCTCATTTTGAAATTTTATGCCTTATCTTTGAATTTGTCTTCCACTTATGACACTGATGGGTGAGTAGTCACAATTATGGAGACTTTTACACTATCTTCTGTCTTTTAGTAGCCACAGTTTTTCTTTAATAAATTTCTTTATTAAAGTAGAGATAAAAGGCCATTTTTGTCACCATCACTTTTCCATTTTCGAATCAAAAAATTCTATAGAGAGTTCTTCACTGTTGAGAGATGCTTGACTCATATCTTCAACTACGCAGTATTCACAATGGTGATCACTGTAGTTCCAGAGTAATTTGCACAGTTCTTTAGCCATATCTTTTGATCCATGTACTTGGTTGGAGATAATTGCAGATAATAAATGGTCGAGATAACAAATATCTTCTTCTTTTGTAGTCATCCTTGCATTGAAGTAGATAATATGGTCTTCAAATGGATAAATCCATATTTTTTTCTTTTTCAGTAATTATCTGAGTTACATGTTCAAATATTTCTTTGTACCCTTTTACCCTTCTATAGGGCATCATATTTAAAATATTTTTATCCATTTTTAACAACCTTTTGACTGATTTGTAAAAAATGTTGATTTGTAAGTCTCATTTTGATAACATGGAACGATGGATGTATATATTCAAGAACGGGATCCCATTCCATAGTTGTTGAATGGAATCTTATGTATATATTTGTTGTCTTAACGACTTCAGTATATCTTTTAACAGCTTTCCTGATGTTAACTGGAAGCTGGGCTATTTCTTTGAGATTTTTGCTGGGATATATACGGAGTATGTTTCCCATCTCAAAGCAATTTCGTACCCAATTGGCTGGTGCTCCTAGATAGAAGTTTATCTTGTTGTATTTTGCACAGTGGAGAGTTTTCATCCACTTTCCAACTTCAGATACCAATCTGATAGAACATTAAAAATAACAATAAAGAACATAACTTTTTCATGGTTATCTTTTCTGGGAATTTTTGTTTCATGACATATCTTGACAATATCTTTTGGATCTATTCTTTCAATAGAAAGTTTAGATTGAGTTTGGCTCGGTGAAGAGCTACCTTCGCTTTTGATATCTTGAATATCTTCCCTAGTGGGAATTTTTGTATCTTCATTACCAGTAATAGGCTTAAGTATTCCCTATTAAGGGGTTCCTATTACCTTCTTCTCTTTCCCTTTATCCTCGGGGAGAGCGCTAGTATTCACAAGTCCCTGCGAAGGGATACTAGACTTGGTACAAGTTACTTCTGCCTCAAGGGCTATATTTTTGCCTCGAAAGCTATCTTGGATATTTTGAATTTGTATTTCCAAATAGGAAACTTTTATCTCAAGTATTTGGACTTTCGTCCTTAGTTGTTCTAACTCCATCCCTGCTAAGATAATCAGGAAGAAAGTTAGTTTTACCTTTTATGTATTCAATCTCAAATTTGAAATATGAAAACCAAATTTGTATCCTAATAATATATCTATTGGTAATAGATGGATCAACATTATTTTTCAAAACGGCTTTAACTTGAGTATTATCAATTATAGTCAAGAACTTTTTTGGTAATAAATAATCTTCATATTTTTGAACTCCCCTTTTTACAGCAATGAGTTCTTTCCTGTTCGTCTCATATCTTGTTTCAACTTCTTTGAATGTTCCTGATGTATAACCTACAAGTATCTCAGGATAAGAACAATTCTTTTCACATTTATATTCTTTATGATTTTTTTAACCTTTAATACTGCTCCCCAATAATTATCTGAAGTATCAGTTTCAAGGATAAAGAAATATTCTTCTTGTGGAATTATGAGTTTGGTTAATACCTTTAATTCTTCTTTTACCTTCCTTATATTTTCACAATCTTGTTCTTCCCAAGACCATATAATATTTTTTCTTAACTTCGGAAAAAAATAATTTTTTAATTTGGTATAATTTTCAATGAATCATTCATCATAATTCAATATACCAAGAAAGTTTTGTAATTATTTTTTATCTTTGATTTTTTCAAGAAATTTTTGAAATTTTTCTCCAATATGGTATTGCAATTGCAATTCTCATTTTTTTATAAATAATCCTAAAAATTCTATTTCTGTTTTAGCTATCTCAACTTTCTTTTGAAAAAGTGTAATACCATGTATCTTTATAATATAACAAAATTTCTCAAGATGTTCTATATGTTCATCAATGTTATTTGAATGAATAAGTAAATCATCTACATATGCAATACAAAATTGAGTAATTGGTTTGATTACCTCATCCATTCTTCTTTGGAATATTTGTGGTGCATTTTTCAACCCAAATGACATTACATTCCATTCGTATTGTCCTAAAGGATTGGGGGTACTAAATGCAATTAATGGTTTACTTTCTTCTATAACCATGATTTGTCAAAACCCTGATTTACAATCAAATTTTGAAAATATCTTTTTGTTATGTACTTGTTTAATAAGGGTATTCTTATTTCGCAAGTAGCATTCATCAAATTTGGTAACTTCATTTAATTTTTTATAATTTATCACCATTATAGCTTTTCCTTTTTTTTATCTCACTATATTTTCTAACCATAAAGGCTAGGCTGCAATGTGGACTTTTACTAGTCCTAATTAATTTGGCTTCTAGTAGTTCTTTTATCTAGTCTTTAAATTTCTTTTGATCATAAACATTATATTTCATAGGTTTGACTCTTACTATGATGCCTGAATTTATTAATTCTATTTTTGGCTTTACTTTGTCTGTATTCCATTTTTCTAATGGATTTTCAGAATATGTTTTAGAAATTTCTTTTTTCAATTGTTCTAACCTATTTTCTGTTGTCATTTTTAAGACTGTTGATAAGTGTATTTTTACACACTTATTTAGCTCACAAACATGACTTAAATATGAACAAAGTAATTGAATTGTGACTTAATCTCGTTAAATTCAGGCAATGTAAGTGTTTCTATGGAAAAAATAGAATTCAGAAGAAAAGCGCCGAAAAAGGACCAAAACGGAACAAAGCGATAGTTCGGGGACCAAAGGTGCAAATATTGAAAAGTTGAGCTAAAGTGCAGAACTAGAATGAAAATATACCAAGTATGAGATTGAGGATGATACAAGACGATCGGAGGAATAAATAAGTAACATTAGACTGAATTGAAGAAAAGTGAAAGATGAAGGACTAAATTGCAATTAATCAAAAGATGAGCCGGGCAAGTGATCAAGGAATTAATTGACCCAAACATCAATTAGGAGTCAATATTTGATAATGGAACAAAGGAAAGAAAGAAAAGAGATCAAGAAAAGAGAAAACGGAGTTCAGTGACCAAAATAGTAAGGTTGTAAAGTTACAACCTTGCGGCCGCATGTAACTATACCATGCAGCCGCACAAGAGGAGGCAGGGATATTATTGGGGCATATCACTTGAACCATGCGGTCGCATGGGTTAACACCATGCGGCCGCATGACTTTAACATTTGAAGAAAAATCTGAACTTCCGTTTTTAATTGAAACTTTTTCGGGGCTCCGTGAGGACATGGTATAAAAGCCAAAATTCATTAAAAATAGGGTAGAACGTCCAGGGAGAAGAAAAATATAACTTTTGGAGGCAAGGAACACGAATTTGAAGCCGATTTCACAAGAATTCAAACGGGTTTTCAAGGTTCTATTCAAGATTTCAAGAATTTTCATACGGGTGCTATTCTTTCTATTTATAAATTTCATTTTTTTCTGTAATTATGAATATTCTAGGCCAGGTTTTCAATTACTAGGTGATCGATGAACCGTT